GTTGTTAAAATAAGCACAACTTCTAATTTTATTGCAATTAGAATGTAGAAAAATAATGCCTTTCACTTCCATGATAAGAAAAATTTTGCCGGGCGCGGTGGCTCAAGCCTGTAATCCCAGCACTTTGGGAGGCCGAGGCCGGTGGATCACGATGTCAAGAGATCGAGACCATCCTGGTCAACATGGTGAAACCCCGTCTCTACCAAAAATACAAAAAATTAGCTGGGCATGGTGGCGCGTGCCTGTAATCCCAGCTACTCAGGAGGCTGAGGCAGGAGAATTGCCTGAACCCAGGAGGCGGAGGTTGCGGTGAGCCGAGATCGCGCCATTGCACTCCAGCCTGGGTAACAACAGCGAAACTCCGTCTCAAAAAAAAAAAAAGAAAAATCTTGACTTTCTATGGGACTGAGAGTGGTGGAGGACTCGTGATGAACTGAATTCCTGAGAGAAATCCAAACTGCTAGGATTACAGGCATGGGCCACTGTGCCTGACTCCTTTTTGTATTTTTTATTTTTTTTTTTTTGAGATGGAGTTTCGCTTTTGTTACCCAGGCTGGAGTGCAATGGCGCGATCTCGGCTCACCACAGCCTCCGCCTCCTGGGTTCAGGCAATTCTCCTGCCTCAGCCTCCTGAGTAGCTGGGATTACAGGCACACGGCACCTTGCCCGGCTAATTTTTTTTTTTTTGTATTAGAGACGGGGTTTCACCATGTTGACCAGGATGGTCTCGATCTCTTGACCTCGTGATCCACCCGCCTCGGCCTCCTAAAGTGCTGGGATTACAGGCATGAGCCACCGCACCCGGCTCCTTTTTGTATTTTTTTGAGATGGAGTTTCATTCTTGTTGCCCAGGCTGGGGTGCAATGGCAATGATCTTGACTCACTGCAACCTCTGCCTCCTGGGTTCAAGCGATTCTCCTGCCTCAGCCTCCCAAGAAATAAGCCATGTGTAGGTGAACAGAGAGCTGCATAACTCCATATAGATGAGTGTTGTGGCTATGGTGGGTAAAGGAGTATGCCAGCTGTGGGTATAACGACTTTACAGAGAGAAGAAATTAGCAGGGCCTTAAATGAGGCTTAGAACTTTTCTGATAGATGTCTCTTTCTTAAGTTGCTATAAATCAGGAACGATTCCTGACCTTTGTTTTTCATTTTACCAATGTTTTTGAAAAGCACAGCCCCCATTATTTTGGAAATTGTCCCTTAATTGGCGTTTGGCTTATTTTTTTTCTGCATGATTTTGGTTATGGAATTAATACCACAGAAGTAACCTGGTGTTGGCCTCAGTGTATCACATCAGGAGACAGAACATCAGTTTGTTGCACTAGTGATTTTTTTTTTTTTTTGAGTCTCACTCTGTCACCCAGGCTGGACTATAGTGGTGTGATCTCGGCTCACTGCAACCTCTGTCTCCCTGGTTCAAGCAATTCTCCTGCCTCAGCCTCCTGAGTAGGTAGGATTACAGGTGCATGCCACCACACCCGGCTAATTTTTGTATTTTTAGTAGAAACAAGGTTTCACCATGTTGGTCAGGCTGGTCTAGAACTCCTGACCTTGTGATCTGCCCACCTCCGCCTCCCAAAG